CATGAACACAGATGTTGCCCATCCCTGAGCTACACAGACACTGACAGTTTATGTGGGCTGTGTTTGCAGTGCACACTTTAATTAACACTGTAGATGTTCACCTTGTTGTCTTAAACTAAAAGACATGATGTGAGAGCAACAGCAAAAATTAAATTGCTGAGTTCTTTCTTTGGACAGATTAAACCGTGAGATGGATGAAAATTAATTGCCACTTCAAAGTAAATGTCTGGTCTTTTGTGTTTTCACCTGTTAATGTTAATATTATTACTATAGTAAGATCTTTGTATGGCCTAATTTAATTGTTATAACTGCTGTCTGAAAGCCTGTAATCTGGTTTTATTTTCTTTGTTTTATCAAACTGCTTACACAGAAATGTTTGATGTGAATGTTTCCTTCTTTAAAAGTGTATCCCAGAAACATCTGCTTACTCAAAGAACAAATATTTAACAGATACCGTGTGGCCACGTGTATGTGTCACTGAAATGCAAAAATCTGTGAAAATAAGGGCTTTTAACAATGTGAAAATAAAGGTAAAAACCTTCAAGAACCCAAATCATTGCCACTCTACTCAGGGTCTTTTTCATCCTCCATACACCAGTGACCACCAGGAGCTGCAGTATAAAGCTAAGAAAGAAGCATCATTCAGTTTGTCTACAGATGATCCTAAAAATGTGTAATGTCACTAATGATATTATCCAGAAATCTAGAACTTTGCAACAGAAATAATACATATTTCTAAAATGTTTTATTTGCATTTGTAAGGGTAATCTCTCAACTGTATAACATTTTTTGCTGACATTAATTGTTTAGATGATTTTTTAATTGAGCTGTTCATGACAGGTATTTTATTTAGATACAGTTTAAACCTGCAGAGAAATGACAGAAAAATAATATTATTATTAATATTACAAACTTGTGGAGCCTTCATGTGAGCAGATGGTGACGTTAGTTGAGAAAGCAGAGGAGGAAAAGACAAAGGATAAGGCGGTGGGAAGAGTGAGAGGAGCTGAGCCTTGAAGAGAGAGAGGTGTCTATGTCTCTCATTCTGCAAATAAACAAAAAGTAAACACCAGTCGAGGAAACACTGCGACACTTGATGCTGCTGATCGCTCCTCCACCTGCCCACTCAAGTTTCCCAGAAGGCCATTCTGCCAGCCACAGGACAAAAGCAGCACAAAAAGAAAACACCTTTCTCCGCCTGGGGCACTCAGAGACAAAAGAGAAAAAAATGTGATACAACGCCTTTGTTTGCTGAGATTAAAACATGTAGCATTCTCTACTTCCCTCCCAACCTCTCTCCTCTTTTCCATCCCTCTCTCCCCAGAGGTAACTGTACCGGACGAGACATGGAACTGTCTGTGAACTCTCGCTCCATTCTTGATAGCTCATAAAAATCTGCCTGTGTTTTTGTGGTGTTCCTATTGTGGTGCATCTTGTGACGCTGCTATTAGCCGATCAGCCTTGGCACAGCGTGAAAGAGAGGGACTGTCCTTTTGGTGCGTCTCCGTGTGAGACAGGTATAAAGTTGATGATGTGACCAGACTTGTGTCCCAGCCTGATTGTTAATGAATGAAACTGAATAGCTGCTGACATAAAAACCAACCCTAGCCTTACCCTTCCAAATAGGAAATTCACTATATTCACTGTACTGTGATAAAACAGCACTATCGGGTGTAAAGTACTCTATATGTTTACAAGACAGCTTCCCTCTCACTTGTCAACAAGTCTTGTGCATTTCCTATGACTGTTGTTACGCCACAAAGTTAAAAATCAAGATTTGAGGCGACACACACATTAAACGCACCAGTCTATCACTACAGTTCTACCCATGGCAAGGAGGGTAGCCCGAGACGCGCTCTCTCTCTCCGCAGGGGGTTTCTGCCAATCTGGCAACCACAGTGGGAGGTCTCACTCTCATCAGCACTGTAGACCACTTGTCTACCTTTCCTCACTCTCTTGTCTGCACAGGCTCTGAAGTAGGGCTCACAAATGATGTGACTGCAGTTAACACTTTGCCGGTTTACTGGAACTACTTTCTACAGAAGAAATAGTCCCAGTGAAAGCTGATTACAGTGAGCTCTGTGGATGATCCAAAGTAATCAAGAGATTGTTTATGGGGGGATGCTGCTGTTAAGAATTTCAAATGTAAATTTTCAGTATGTTTTGCACAAATAACATTCACCTAATCTCCATTGTACTGGGGTGGCAGCAAAGTTTCAGAGCCATAGATCTCAAACCCACAAGGGAAAAAATATATTTTCAGATACCACAGAACATGCATTTCTATTTTTCCAGTTCAGGGAAGCTGACGCTGTAGGTGACAAAACAATTTCCCCATAAGACTCACTTAGTGGCTGGGTGGGAACTTTTGAATGTATCACATGATCTTGGTTTGCTCCGTTGAAAGTTTGACTTTTTTCTTTAAGCTATCATGCATGAGAAGTCCTTAAAATGCTCAGGAAAAAATGGAAATCTAAAGATTCCACAATAACTTGGCAAACTCAATCTACTGTGGAAAACTGAAATCAAAAGCTCCAGAACAGCTACTAAATGTGGTGATTGCTTTTTCATCGTCCAGCATTAAAGTTTCCTCCTTGCCTTGGCTCACTCTGGAGCAGTTACAGGTTTTGTCCACCATTGAAGATGAGCTCATGGCTTCATGTGACTTCCAAGACATCAAACAAAACAGGCCTACTACTCGACGCTCCCTCGTTTCTGAGAGTGACATGTGGATTAAACCCTGCACCCTCTCTATCCCTGCACTGCCTACCCCGTTACACAAACAGTATGCCCAGATATTGAGGCCAGGTGAGAAAGTGTAGGTGTACCGAGAGCTGTGTACACTGGCCTAATCCTGCTTCACAGCATTTGTTGTGTCATTAGAGCTGTATAAGTTGTGGCTCATGCAGCACGGGCCTGAATCATCATGTAGACTTCAGCCACTGTTGTGTTCAGAGCTTTCAAAGGTGGGAGGGTCCTCAAAGACCACACAGGTAAATACCATGGGTCTCTCTCACACACACAGACACACATTTGGCTTTATCCTTTGTGGGGACTTTACATTGATTTACATTCATTCCCTGGAGACTTAACCTAACCGTAACCATAACCTTAACTTGCCTAACTTTAACCCTTACCTTAGCCTTAAGCCAAGTCATCACCCTAACAGGTTTCAGTGAGAAAAACATGCACACACACACACACACACACACACACACACAAAGTGACTCCAAGATTCAGTCAGTGATTTTATTTTTGTGCAAAGCTCAGGCAACCCATTACTGAGAGAGGATGTGCTTCACAACAAGTGGATAAACCAGCAATGATGTGGTATGGCATCCCTTTATTTATTATACAAGTGACAGTAGGTAACCAACCATCTTATTATGCTAAGTTTGCTCAGATCACTGTCTTTAAAACCACTGCTTTTTATTTATTTATTTTCTGCCTGTGTCCTATCCACACAGTTATCACTTTTAAAACTTAATTTCTATGAATACATTCACCTGCACGTAGAGCCTAATTTTGTTCTCACATAGCTGGGTGAAAAGCATTATTCTCGACTGCTCTCGTTCTCATTATGTCTGGAGAAAACTTCTACAGTGTAAAGTGCCACGGGGAGTTACAGTATATTTTATTGTACATAACACTGTGCGTTTGACATTTTTACCATGAAACACAAATATGTATACAATATTTTCAGAAACTGCAGTTTACCAGTGGTATTGGTCTTTACGGTTTTATGAATTATGCTTTATGAGTTATTTTCAGAGTTTATTACTCAATCTAGTTCTGAGACAAGATGGCACCATGCAGTGTGTGTGTGTGTGTGTGTGTGTGTGTGTCTGTGCTGAGGTCTTATACAAGAGGTAAGCTAGGGAAAGTGATTTTATTTGACACTTTATTTTAAGATAATGTATCAACTAATTTCCCGAATGTTCTCATAGTTTCCTAGAAATTAGCTGGTATTTAAAAATAATTGTATACTTACTTGCTGGTTTTTTCTGCACTGGAAATGTATTAGTTTTGTGTATCAAACAAAATTGATGACCAGCAAATAAAATCAAACATTTTTGTTAGTCTTTGTAGGAAACTAATGGATAACGACATCTGTTTTGAACAATTCTTCACCAATTGCATAACTTCCTAGTTTTGTATAACAAACTTCAATATAACAATTGGGTACTTAACACATTCTCCAATCCCCTTATAAATAGTTCAAAATTGCCTTTCTTGGCAATATGTTTATGATTTACATCTAAATACCAGCTACTTTTTGAGAAATTATTAAGAAAGGCATCTGGAAATTAGCTGGTTAATAATGGAACCATTAAATAAGGCGTTAGCAGTGTTGCAACTATTTACTGTGAACGTGTGTACTCTACTTGGTGCAGCTGCTGTACATTTGCCTCCTGTGTGTCGTACTATACTGTGCTGAAACGAGGTAGCAGAGATTCATTCATTCAACTGTTAACCACAGAACTCAGGAGAATGACTAACATGTTCATTTTACAGTACGATATGATTGCACAAGCATCACAAAGTAGCAATATTGCTTTTGGCTACTGCTCTTATTGCTAGCTTATTATAACACTCAGCTGGCTCAGATGTTTAAAACAGCTATGATTAGAATTCCCAAAGTACTTCTCAACTCTCAGTACGGTATCACTCTGCATCACTGCCTGACACATTAAACCTCATCAATTCATCCTGCTGACTGGATGCACCAACCCCATCCTGTCCAGAAAACTCAATACAGCAACACGCAATGTGCTTATCCTTACTTACAGTATCTGCACATTTCATTATGCTACAGAAAATATTAAGACTTTTCCAGATATTTCAAATGCAAAAAAAAATGTAATGTAAGGCCAGTTTTGCTAGTGCAATAAAAAAACACAATCTGTAATATGTAATAAAGTTATATTTAACAGGATTCAAGGACTTTTGAGGTGTTTGTATACAGGTAGTCAAACTCAAAATATTTCAGCAATGTTTCAGCACCTGCAGCCTCCCTGTATCATGACCTTTCGCCCTCATCTTGATATCATTCTGGCTGCTCTTTGAGCTGGTGTTCCCTCAGAACACCAGTGAAGGTAGCCGTCCACACATGCAGGGCTGTCCCGGCTGAGAGGGTTAGGAAGATGAGGAAAGCAACTTGGAAACCAAACCAATCCACCAAGCCTCCGGCCAGAGCGCTGAACGTCAGCTTCCCCAGAACCTCCAGAGTCGCCAGGAAACTGTAGTGGGTTGCCTAATGGGAGAACGGCAGCAGAGAGGTCAATGTAGAGAAACGAGGAGGATGACTGAATGATGAGAACAGAGATTAAAAGGAGGGGGTAAAGGAGGGGAAAGTGAGAAGAGAAAAGAGTCAAGGAAAAGAAGAAGTTACAGGAAAAAGAGATGGGAAAGCAGAGAGGGAAACATGGGTAGAAAAGGTAACACTTCATCCTATTCTGCAGTGCGGTTTATAAACTGATTGTTGTTAAACAGAACAATGAACCACAACAGGCAGAGAAACAAGGGGAAGGTGTGAGCTAAAATCCCCAGTGCAATAGGAAATGATAGAAGAGAAAAAATACACAAGGCCAAAGGAACTGGAGTGTCTGATCCCAGCCTTAAAGGGCAACACACACTGGCAGAGTTGTGTCGCATCGTGTCAACAAAGAGGTGAATCATCCCCAATTTACTACATTTCACCAGGCAATGTCTGTTTTAACCCTTGTACTCTGTTAAATATTATCCTTATAATGCCTGTTCTGTGGGTCAAATATGTCGTACAGTATTTTTCAGTGTCAACAATGATTTTTTCTTCATCTGTTGTAATTAGCTGTTACCAAAAAAAAAAGATGATCCTAACAGAACAGACAGACGACAATAGCCACTGCTAACTGAATATCTTTTGGTTTTGGACTAATGTTTAGCTCAAACAATACATTTGAGGGTGTCACCTTGGACTCTGACTGATGTTTTACCCTTTTCTGACATTTTTTTATCATTGAGCCTTTCAGAAACAATAAATAAGTTAATGGATAGATGAATCAATAATGAGCTGCAACCCTAAATCCTTCCCTCATGATACGGACTCAACCTTAAGTATGTCTGAAATGTTTTCAAAATAAATGATACAATAAACTTCTACAACAGGACTGAAACAGCTGTTTTGCTTTGTACCATTCAGGAACACAATCAGGGTGATCTGTACAGAACGCTTCTCACTGGAAAACAAAAGATGAAATGATCTGACTTCGATGAGAGTTTAAAAACTGGTGGTGAGTTTAGACTTTCTGAGCTGGTCTGCAGGCTGAAGCAGGGAGCTCTGAGAGCCCGTGTGACCGCAGCTGAGTGGAGTGCCTTTATACTGAGCAACTTGTTTAACAGATTTGATTTCTTTCTCCTGGGGATCGTTAAGAAGCACTCACAATATCAGCTTTCTGTCACTGGATAGCACTACCTTCAGTAGCACACGTACACAACAAGCATAGACAGGTTAATGCTCTCCACTCCTGTGAGCATGTACACACACATACCAATTCACACACTGAAACACTCAAAAGCAAACAGTTTATGTATCATGAAAACTTCTTAGATGAATCACGGTTCTTGTCATCACATGTTGTGACTAGTTATTTAGTTTATTCATAACCAAATCCTGATACCTTTGCTTCACCCTGCGATTTCTTTTTCCTCTTTCTTCTCCATTTTAAGAGTAACAGCAATTTAAATGATAATTTGTCACCTACAGAGACTGACTGAGTGATGTCTGAATAGTTGCGTGAACAACGATCACCTCCAGGCAACGATGGCCCAGTTATGACGGGGACAAAGGGAGTTATGTCAAAGAGGAGAAATCAAGAGAGAAGAGGGAAAAGTCAGGCTGGAAAAGAGAGCATTTAAAGGACGACAGATTAACAAAGACAGAGCGAAGTACGAGGGACAATGCCAGTGGGGTGGGGAGTGGGGCAATTAAAAGAAATGTCTGCTTGAGATTTCTGAGGTGGAAACAGCTGAAGAGAACTGTCAGGTATAGTGTAGGTGACAACAGGTGTGGTGCTGTATGCTGAGGGTTTCACTCCCTGGCCCCCACTGACATCCAAAGCAAATAACCTAACATTATTATACTAAATTATTATATAACAGCAGCCTGGGTTTCCAGAACGAGGCTGTCGGCAGGTATGGGTTAGGTTCATGTTACCTGAATGCTTTCCTCAGCCCTCTGTGTGCAATGCATCATGGTAGTGAAGGTGAGTGTGGTGATGAGACCCCCCAGGAAGTGTTGAACACTCATGCTCAGGACAGCCATACCTGAGAAAGTGAACACACGTGAGCAAAATGAATCAAAAACAGGCAAAACGTGTCAGAGTACAGCTACACTAACTTCTTCTGGAAAAAAATCTGCTCTGCTACACTCTTCACTATACTCTTCTGTGTAGACATTAAAGCGGTGAGAAGCGTTGAGCTGCTAAAATGTCTCTTCTCCTCTCTTCCACCACCAACCCCCCTCGTCCCCAAAACACATGTAGTGTATCCTCTGAGGGGAAGTGGCAGAGTGGTGTTAGTGAGGAAACACAGAGGAACCACAGCCGATCCATCTCTGCTCCCGCTAACACTAAATTATTCACTCAAGCCAGCAGAGTTTTTGCCAAATAAGACTCTTCAGTCAGTAACAGAAGACTGCTGGAGTCACAGACGCAGCGACTGATCACACTAGAAGATTGGGAAGCGGAGGGTTATCATGTAATATTGAAAAATCTGAAACAATGTTTTTTTTTGTCTCCTTTTTTTTTTGGTTGAGTTTTCCTAAAATCTTTATTCTGGGTTTAAAGTGGAGGAGGGAGGTGCCTCAACTTTCAGTCTGAGAGGCTTGATAGGGGAACAGACAACTCCTGCAGAAACGAAGGGCACAGATCTGAATCCCATAAGCTTTGCAACAGGCTGCGTCATTCAGACATTAACAACTGAATGGCTCTCTGGAGAGAAACAGCCCCCGTCTATCAATGTCCTCTGCATCATGCACTCTAATGCTGTATTAATACTGAACATCTGGCTCAAAAGCTTGCACTATAGGCCAGCAGTCACAACCTTTTTTGGATTGTGATGCCCGTGAAGCATCAGTAAATGCTTATCAGATGGTTGAACAGTGTTAACTGGGAATCGCTCTTATGTTTTCTCTCTCACTTTTTGTTTTTAAATGAGTGAAACGCTATGAACACCCTACATGTAAAATTGTCCTAAGGTGTTTGCCATTATCCCCATATCTAAAACAATACTGCCTATAACTTCTCCTAATCTAATTCTAAGTTTGTAAACTGCACTTGCATTTTAGTGTCCCAGGACGATGCCTTTATCCACACAAACTCACACTGTACATCTGTAACCTAAAGCAGTTTATCTGCATGTTAATGTGCATTGGAGGAAGAAGTACTCAGATTGTACCACAGTGTAAAAATACTCTGTTGCAACTAAACGTTTTCAATTCAAAATGTTACTGAAGTAAAGGTACACAAGTAGCAAAAGTAAAAGTACTCATTATATAGAATGGTACATTTCACATAAATGTGCATCATATTACTGCATAAGAATTATTGATGAAATATCATGTACATCATATTTAACGCTGCAGATGGTAAAGATGAAGAACATTTTCCTGCCGCATATGTCTATAATTTGAAGCACTGCTGGGTAGCTTCACACCAAGGATCAGTAAGGTCTTATGATTATACTGCATTGTTTTATTAATTTGATTATGAAAAGTAACTAGTAACTAAACTCATCAATAAATATAGTGACGTAAAAAGTATGTCTTTAAATTGTTGTGAAGTTAAAATATGCAGTAACACAAAATGAAAATACTCAAGTAAAGTACAGACACCTCAAAATTGTACTTAAGTACAAGCATTTGAGTAAATGTACTTAGTTACTTTTTACCTCTGTAATGAGTGTGTGTTTTTTATTTAAGAAACCAGATGGTCAAATGAGGACAGTCAGTGTGTGGGACCAGGCTAAACCACATGTGGCATATCACTATTAATGGAGATGACTGAAAGACCAACAGGGTCGCTTCTTTTACAACTGTACAAACACTTGTATAGAGCTTTGATTGTTTTATTTGTCATGTTATCACTTGCTTACATCACATTTACAACAGAACACCAATGTAAACTAGCAAACTGCATTCTATAAGATCATGGCATTTGGTAAAACGTGGTGAAATTTGTTTCCAGTTCTGTTGGTATCTGCGGTCTTGGCGTTTGTTCCTCACCTTTCATGAGTGGTGATGGCTCCAGTACAGTGAGTAGAGAGCTCTGGAAGACCATGCTAATGGTTCGCAGCACAAACACACGCCGCATCAGAGCCCCGATGCTGAGGAAAGACCAGCAAACAGGCCGAGTATCAGAGATGAAGTGTTACCGATGAGCACTGTGATACGTGATGACAGTGGCTCACACACAATGACACAGACACATGCATGCGCGCACACAATAGCATGCGTGCATGTGCATAAGTAAACAAGTCCCCAAACTCTAATTGATTCCCTGTTAGTGCATAAAAATCATCCCCCTGTGGGTTTGGTTTGTGACGTAATCAATAACCTAAGGAGATCCCCAGCATGAGGAAGATAATTAATCACTGTTAACATACACACACACAAGCACATGCGCACTCACACTGTTGTGTGACATCAGGGATTAATAATGCCAATCACTCAGAGGATGCCTGCCACTCAAAGGACTGTGTGTGTGTGTTTGTTTTGTTTGCATGTAATTATTAATGTGTAAAAGAGGCTGAGGAAGAAGGGGCCTGTCACACAAGGCAGGATATCTGATTTATCTGGTTAGTGCGCTCAGTAAATCCATGAACAGCGTCAGTCGATGACTGAGATTTAAAGTTCCACGTCCTTCTCCATAAAGTTTACAAGTTCACTTCATTACGCTGCTTCAAGAAACAAGCCTTTGACTCATATTTGACTAAGCAGTGACTGACACACTAGTTTTCTGTAGAAGTGAATAAACCCAGTTTGCCCTAGTGGGCTGTTCAGTTCATACACTGTTGACTTATTTTAACACGCTTTCAAATATCGCTCCAGTATCATTTAATGGCTTTCGTTTCTTTGTTTGCTGGTTGGGTTTTTTTTTCCCACATCATAACTCATTATTGGATTTTGATGTATTTTTGTGGAGAGGTAGGGTATGGCTCAAGGAACAATTTGACTTTTTGGCTCAAAAAATGTCAGTTAATGAGTTATCAAATAGATTCTGATTCATTTTCTGCTGATGAACTGCAGCTCTTTTACGTTCACGTCCAGGCCACAAAGACACTTGAATGTGTCTTTTCTATTTACTCCTGCAACTGCAGATTAGAAAAAGTTTATGCTGCTTTTGGCTAACTCCAAGAGAAATGCAAAGTCCCTCTCAAAAATAATGAAAAAACAACTTTTAAAGCACAACAGAAAGCCACGAGTAGCGTACGTGTTCATTAACGGATTCATATAAACGTCTAGTGTTACAGACCTTAAATGAACTGGATTCTATTTATTTCACTTGTTTACTTCTATCCCAGTCATCACTCTCTCCTCCCTGTCTTTCCTTTCTTCTCTCCTGGAAAGCCAATCCTGCATCATTCACATGCTAAAGACATTCTTCTCTCTGCTGCTCCTTTACCTCCCTTCTCAATGACAACCTTTCATATCACACACTCCCAAGAGATGCTGAGAGCTGTGTGTGCGTGTGTGTGTGTGTGTGAGAGAGAGAGAGAGAAAGAGAACCTGCCTGACTGCCACCTCACATGGGTTCTCCTGTTGCCAGTGATTGTTGTAAAGGGGGTAACTCTCTGACCACTCAGCCGTTTCTGATGGTGGGGAGGATAAAGCTTCCAACAGAGCTTTTAGAGGTGGGACCGCAGCCTAGTGGACAGCCCCATCTCTGCATGTGTGTGCATGTGTGTGTGAATTTGTGGGTGATAGGAGGAGGTAAGGAAGGAATTACAGGGAAAGGGTACATACAACCAAAAATATACATTTGAAGGCTTCATTTCATCTACAACTGTCATAAAATTTTGGATGTAGCATTGTAGTTTTGTCTCTTTTCTAACTCTATACATTCAATTTAGTGTGTGAACATTTTACTGCCTTTACACATTACAAGTAACAGGTGAGATGGGAACAAAGAGTGAAAGATCAAAAGCCAAACTATGACAATGACACATTTTGAAAGCGCTTTTCCCTTTTTGCCTTGGGATGTTTGCTAGTATCAGTTTGCAGGAGGAGACAAATAGAACCTGGAAGCCAGCTGAAAACATAATGCAAAGACAAAAAGACTGACATCAGAGCACAGAGCAACTGATACATTCAACAAACGGGTAAGCAAACTCTGGAAGCACAAGATGTCAACACAAAAACATGGGGTACAAGTTCAACTGCTCCACAGAGAGACAAGCTGTATCCCTAATCATCCTAAGTCATTCATGTCAGCAGGTACAAGTAAAATATTTTTAAATGGTGATGGAAGGGCAGAAATGTTGTTGGAGAGTACAGTAATGCGTGCTGTGGGAAATAACACCCTATCCTCCATAAAGGCATTGTTGTTATTTATAGTTCCCATTACATCACACAGGCCAAAGGCATTCAAGGTGCTAAACTGACTTGTTTTGGAGAGCAAATGATCACTTTATACTGTATTATCACACCTGTAATGCTATGTGATATCCTCCCCACTGTTACCAAGTGCTTGCTAAAGGGGGATTTGTTGGGTTTTCCCAATAATAATAATAATAATAATAATAATTATTATTATTATTATTATTATAATGTCTAGACCTTACTATGTAAAGTGCCCCTGAGATGATTTTAGTTGTGATTCTGTGCTATACAAATAAAAGTGAATTGAACTTTTAAAAAAATCATTTAAAAAAATTACAAGTATATGTATATAATGTAATTATAACTTTAGTTGAAAGTGACTATGTTTTAAACAAATTGCAGAATGGTCATCATGTCCAGGGAGCTTAATAAATCTAATCTGTCTCATGTAGTGTATCACAGCCACTGTAATATAATAATCAGAAAGTCTAACATCTTAGTATGTGTCTGTAAATCTGAGAGTTAGATTCAAGACTCAAGTCTCTGCGATCAAACCCTCAGGGGTGTGTGTGTGTATTTGAGAGTGTTTGTTCGTGTGCAGGAGTGTGTGTGATGGATTTTCTGCTCATGCTGTTCTCACACCACACACCAGACACGGGGGGTCCCTGAGCTCTCAAACAAGGCTATGTTTACTTAAATTACTGTACACACAGTCAGAAAAAGACACACACATACACACACACATACTTGTACTACTATCTTTGTAAGGACACTCATTGACATAATGCATTCCCCAGCCCCTAACCCTAACCATCAGAACTAAATGCCTAACCATAACCCTCCCCCTAACCTTAACCTGAACTTAATTCTAACCTGAATCCTTAAATGAAGTTTTAACCTTCAAAAATGTGTTTCACAAAGTGAGGACCTGCAGAATGTCCTCACTTTTCACAAATGTCTTCACTCTGCAGCCAAAAAAAAAACAACAACTTTTTTTTGTTCTCACTATGTAGCAAGCACAGGAGCCAGTGTAGACAAAAAGCATGGAAGAAAGGAAGGAGGAGCAAGATGAGGATGATGTGATGATGATGGCAACATCCACCTTATGGAAACAAAGCATATGATGTAGTAAGACATATTCATGGGGTGAAGAGGACTGGACCATCTGTCTTCTTTCCCACTACTGGAAACACATGACCAGTTTTACAGAAAAATGTTGAGCTGACTTTTCTTGTAATGGCTCATTTTAAACCACTGATTGTTACATTTTCCCAATACGGGTTATGTTGCATTCTGTTACAACAGTTTGTGTGTCAACAAAATGTAGTTCTTCTGCTTTAGGTTTCGAGAAACAGTGAAGGGACTTTTTAAGTATATTTGAATATTTAATAAACTGAATGGCTGATTGACTTATGGAGGAAATAACTGGCAGGACAGTCTATAATCCAACTGTTAGTTGAAGCCCCAGTGAAAGTTGGTAAATGACTCCTTGGAAGAATGCAAATTTAGTAACATGCAAAAAATTGTGTGCTTTAATAGGGCGTAGTATTTGACATTCACGATTCATAAATTTTCAAGGGCATTTTGCCTTGAGAACTGATTAATTTTGATACCCTGCAAAGTAAGACCACTAAAAACCCTTCAGATTCACAAAATACAGCTGCCATACAAATGCAATCCCTGGAATGCCACTGACATCCAAACTGATGTGAGAACGATAGCGCTGATGAAGGTTACCTGAACTGAGCGAGCAGCAGGCCTCCCAGGGACGAGCCGCAGATGGAGAAACCCATAGCAATAACGCCATTCCAGAAACCGAGCTCCCTGGCGGTCATGTGATGATCCAACAGGAAGAGGGGAAACATGGTCACTGCGCCCTGCTCACCTATACATACAGTGTCAGGAGAAAGAGGAGGATTATGAGAGAAGAACAGGCGAGAAAGGAAGATGAGAGAGAAAAGAAGAAGAAGGAAATAAGGGCAGTGCAAGAGAGAGACTACAATGAGCTGGTGAGATATAATGATGGTAGAATTAGGTGCTGCAGGGTAAAATATACAATCAATACACCATGTATGAATGTACTCTATTGTATGCCTCTAAGCATTACCATCTTTCACCTACAGCAAATATGTGAGACACTTCCTGAATACACACGCCTACTCCAAATACGAAGAGGAAAATGTACCAACCTGTTCAGCCTGCAAGACTATACAACATGGTTTTCCTGAGATGACGACTGCAGAACCATTTGCAGCTCAGTGACAAGCAAGCGCACCTAGGCCTATTCCTGGAAAGTGTCAATAATAGATGGCTGACAAGAAAAAGCATACCCTCAGTCACTTTATCAAACAGGGGCCTAGCACTTTTCCTAAAGCACAAAAAGGAAAACACAACAAAAACACAAAAACTTCCACAGATGAAACAGACCTCACAAAGACCTTTCAGTCAAAATAAAAAGTTTCTGTCAGACAGTTAGACTTTCTCTGTGTGGCGCTGAGTGTGGGGGTAATGTTCTGCTGAACATTACAGTTAAATATTCAGTGGCGCCGACTACACGCCATTATTATATTAATGGTGACTGACTTCAGAAAGACAGTGGGACCAAGGAGCTGTGTGAGTGACAGCTTGGCTCCCAGACTGCTGTCAAAGACGACACAACACAACTGACGACTGACTCTCTCACTCAGTCAGCTAGGAGACAAACAAAAATAGAGAAAGAGGAAAAAAAGACAGATGAAACAGACTGGGGAAAAAAATAATAAGAGAAAGCTGAGAAGCTCCCAGTGATAGGGAGCGCAGCAGCGGAGTTTCACCGCTGTAGTGTGGTGTGATAACCCAGCAGAAACATGGGGTAGGAAATGTGGATTCTCTGTGCAGGAACCGCTTGTCTCTCACTTCTGTCACTCGTGTTTCACTGTTGGCAATTTACACACAGTTAATACTAATATGGGCAGAAGTGACGACATTCACGCTGGTCATTAAATTAGACTTTCTACAACATTTCTACCTGTCTGAGAATGTTTTGTTCCTCTGTCAGATACAGTGACAGAGGCTTCCTCACAGTAGGGGAACAGTCTCCACTGTGGGTGGGCGACAGATCAAACCTATCAAATTACTGTGCCATTATTATTACTCTCTTATTGAGCCCATTTGAGTCATATTATTATTTTGAAAAAACTTAATCCCACATGATTAAAGTGAGAATAGCTATAACAACCTGTGACATTTAATCAGATTTAACCAGGAGCTCAAGGAATCAAGAGCCCACAGTCCAATACAGGTTTCCAGAATCTGAATGTGTTAATTAATCTGAACTTGTACCTGCTGACATGATGGACTTAGGATGATTAGGGATACAGTGTGTCTCTCTGTGGAGAAGCTGTTGACAGCCCAGAGAATCAGCTGAGTTAGAATTTGATCTCAGTTACAAGTCTGTAGCATCATTTCTTGTCTCACAGAAGCAGGTTTTCCAGCAGCCTTACAAATGTGAACATTCTGGATCAGCAGATCTGGAATACTACGTGGATCCAGATCATGCTTTGCAGTGTGATAGATCTTATGTGGATGGTATAAGTGCAACTTTTGTCCAAGCATTAGAGGAACTATGTAGGGAGTTAGGAACAGAAGTACTGAAAGTATATGGCATTAGAATCCTTAAAAAAGTATTTCAATTAAATTCATTTAAAACATTCCTGGATCCAGACAATGATCTGAAGCAACAACCAACAAACCAAACAAACGCCAGTAGAAACATTACCTCCACCAGTGGTTGCAGCGCTACAACAGCAGCACAATGACATAAATAAATATGATGACACACCTCTGGGTAAGGATGGCACTTCAGTGCAGATAAAGTAATAGTATGTCTTTGAAACTGAGCTGTTTGTGTTGATTAATTTGGTGAATATGACACAAATTTTACAAAAAAGTCAACAAAACATTTTAAATGTGACCTTTAAACCTCTGTGGTCAGACCCAACATAACTAATTAGAAGTAGATCTTTATAACAAAGACATATCACTCCACACACCCAGTGGGAGCTGCACTGATATGCTTAGACCCTCTCTGTGCATCATTTACATTTTAATCTCTGTCATCCTCTGTGCTGAACTGTTTGGAGTTGCAGCAACAGTGCAGTAGCCATATTAGTCGCAAACACTGGCAGCAGTGGTACTCATGATGTCTGGGTTGTTTACCCATGGTTCTGTGCAACTGTCTGCCTGTTGTTTAGCTCAAAGCTCAGAGCCTTCACAGTCCTGCCTTCAACTAATTATTTCTTTTGGGGGGTGGGGCAAACAAATCCAGGCTGATTATTCCTTTCTATAAATATTCTCAAAGCAACAGTTGTCCATTTCATCAGGGATTCCATTAGACATCCACAGAGATTACAGAAGCACAAGAAGAAGGAAAGGGTGGAAGAAGAGTGAAAAGGAGAGCCAGCTGCAAAGGGAAATAGGAGGAGAAAGTCAGTGATAATGAGAAAAGTGAAAAAAAAAGAAAAAGGGGCAAGAGAAGGAGGTTCCAAAAATGTAATGCAGGAAATGGCAATCATAATGCATTTATTAAAAAAAAAAATTATTTTAACGTGTGTTAAACATGTCTGTGGATGTCTGTGGAGCTGCCAGGGATGGAGACAGTTAAAGAGAGGAAGCGGGTGGCGGGGGGTGTGGGGGCAGATGAACAGAGACATTATTAGGAGGTTAGTGAAGAGGAAACGAAGGAGGGATGGCAGTCTCAAAGAAAACTGTGTTTACATTAGGTGCGCACAGCACGGAGAAACAAATCAATTTAATGTTAAGAGGGAAAGTGACAGAAAGAAGGGCAGCGGTGCCGTTTTATACATCCTATTTATTCTAAGGTACTTCATGATAACATCACTGACTACATTTGCAAGGAAATGCAGCAAAGCCCACACCCCATGACACAAAGCCTCAAAGAGACAGCAGAGAAATAAACCATTTTAATATTTACATGATCAGCTTCTTACTACAAACAATGGGCTCCTACAGATTACATTCAAAGGTATTTCCAATATCCTGCCCCTTCACCCAGGTGTGTGTAAACTGGGAGGACAGGAAATTAGAAACACCTTTCAACATAATCAAATTAACATATTTCCAACACTGTCCAGAACCTATAACTGAGCATTGCTGACCTGGTAAAGGTCGAATTTATCACAAAGATGTTGTACTAAACCTAAGCTGACTATAAAGGTGTATCTACTGTAATAAAGCAGCTTTTGTATTTCCACGCACCACTAAGAATTTAGCAACATCTGAATCTGATACCAGTTGTGGGTTCTGCCTATGTTACAAATTATTGTCAGCCAGATACAATCGCACAGTCCTGAAGCAGAGTGTTATTCTTTATAACTAACTGATGGTGTATTTTAGTCTCATATTTAGAAACAAACATTTCTTGCTATAGAATATTAGAAACCATCGTTTTCAGAGCCTTTAAGAGGGAACAGAGGGAGGGCAGGGTTTTTATTTATCCTTGCTGTTAAAGGTAATTCATAGCAGCATCGATCATTTTACTGACATTATTTAATTTATTACTATAAAGTTTATCATCTTCAATGATGCAAACACATGTACAGTAGCTGCACCCTTGTGAGAAAACCAGTCTAAATTTTGATACAACACTACAACATACAATAACCGTATGACACATCTTGGCCAGACATGCTTGTTTTAGTGTGTCTGTTATTATTAGTTTCATTATTTCTAAAAATTCTACACCTAACACCTTGATTCCTGGTGAGGTGGTCTGGGTGTATGTCAGAATATGTGTGGTCCAAGGTGGTTGTGTAGTCGACAGGTACAGTGGGGTGTAATCCTAATATCACCAGGACACCCAGCCGCCTTGCACAACAAGGTTGTCACAAAGACAGGTTCCTACACAGATGGGAGAAGTTGCTGGAAGGACAATGATCTTAGCAGCACTCCAATTGATCAGACCTTTTACGGTAGGGTGGCTAGATGAAAAACCCTTTGTTTAAAAATCATAGGACAGCCCACATGAAGTTTATCAAATATCATTTAAAGGACTCTGAGAGCATGAAGAAAAAGATTCTCTGGTCTGATGAGACAAAAACGGGGCTCTCATAATCTTTGAGGGAAAGCTGCTGCAGAGTGCACACAACCTGAGACTGGTCCAGTGGTTCACCTTTCAGAGCAATACCACCCCCTGACATACAGCCGAGACAACGCTGGAATGGCTTCAGGACAAGTCTGGCTGTCCTTGCGCGGCCCACCCAAAGCCCATAGTTAAACCCCACACGATCTGTGTAGACACCTGAACATGGTAGTTTACAGACGCTTCCCAGAAAGTGAAGGTGTGAATACTTTCTGAAGCTACTGTATGTGGTTAAAAAAATGAATTGGTTCGTTAAAAATCTAAAGAGATTGTGCACTTTTATGTCTTAGCATGAATAAATGTGTTTATTGCCATTTTGGTCTCTAATTCTCAGGGCACCATGTGGTGGTTGTTCATTAATTCATCCCCTCCTTTAGTCTCCCTCCCTGCAGTCCTTCTTCTTCCCTCCAGAAAATGCCCCCACTCCCTTCCCACATTTCTCTTTTACTTCCCCTCATCTCTCAGAACTCCATCAATTCCCCAACCTACTATCATCTACTACTGCTGTCATCTATGACAGTTCTCCAAACTGGACTACAGGCTTCAAGTCAATTCAGGAATGTTGTGTGCACACGTACATAAATATTTGAGCTGAGCAGGGCCTATTAATGAATGTCTACATGAGCTTCCAGTTCTAGTTAGCATATACTCAGCTGTCAGTTCATATTGTCCACAACTAGCTAAAACTAATGCAGTCTAACACAACAGTCCTGCAACAAATCTGTATGCCATGAAGTTGTTATAGAGAGGTGTTGATTCAAATTCATAGTTATTTTCAAGGCAGTAGTTGAAAGTGCAGTTATGCTGCCTTGCCTCATAATGAGAGATGTTTATTTTATTCTGTTTACAACATTTATGTCAGAAAGACCGATTTAAAAAGTCAGTAACTGAGTATATTCTACAATCAACCCTTATAAATATCTTTTTGGAAGGCAATGTTAAAAGGGAGCATTGGAACAAAGTTTTTCTTTTTCTGTTCCTCTGTCCACCTGGTCACTTCCCAGAGAAAATCATCACCAAGGTCTATCTTCACTCACCATTACATCTCTCATCTATTGAATGCCTACAAAGTAGCAATATGTGCAACATCACAGCTACACTTACACTTAAATGTTTGTACCCAACATTTGGGCTTATTTGCAAACCTCTCTTGTTTGCTTGTCCTTTGTCCCTAACATTTCCTCTCACTGGTGCCTATTTCCCTCCCAATCATGCCCTCCACCCATCCCTCCAAGTCTACCCAGACCGTTCTCCCATCATGCCTGTGGCGTCAGATGGCACAGGGGTCAAAGTTCAGACACAAGACTCCCAGTGATTGGCTACAGTGTTGCACGCAGTGTGAACTCAGAGTTCATTAGGGACAGATGAGAGAGAGGGGTCTGTATTTATATTTGTGTGTGAACCATGGAGGGGTTCAGACAGGCAGATCACCAGTCTCACACAAACATATCCACACACCCCCTGAACAAACACAATTCTGTCTCACATAGGCAATTAGCCTGGTACATCCAGGCCTAAAATTACAAAATTCTTTTTCTGTCACAAAGCTGGAAAATATTTAGATACACTAAAAACACTAAGGAGTAGTTATCATTGTAATCACGAGGATCAGCAGGTAGTGTGAGTGTGTGTTCGTGTGAGAGAGTGTTTGGGGAGGGGATGCTCCCTAGACAGATTAGGGGGTCCAGCCAGCCTTCATATTTTATCTGGTAGTGTCGTATGGTGGGGCTCATCCGATTACTGAACCACCCCTAACACTCTCTCAAAAATGCAGATGTAGACACACAAAAATGAAAAACAAAGGTATATACATTCATGCTCATACACAAGTTAAGTCTATGCAAATGTGAGGAGACAATTATATTTCCCCCACCCACGTATGCACATACACACAAACACACATGCGTGATGCGCCATCTTCCATTTCAATTTCAGAACGCCACAGACACAAAGACACTCTAATCCTTACATAATCCCCTTCTGCTACCAAACACCAAACTCAGGTCATACCAACTCACTCTCCCACACACACAAGCTTGTCTGATCCAAAACTACTTTCAAATGTTAGTTTCTTACTGGAACTAACTCGTTCACATACAAAACCATCTGCATGAACTTCATATGCATTCAAGCTAGCATTGTATTCTTGTTCAAGTGCCTTAGGTGTTGTGTGACATTACAAACAACTGCATTAACTATGTAGGGCCTGAATTTTCCATTGTGCATACAGTACCAGGTAAGACATGATAAACCACCTTGCAACAATTACTTCCCAAACTTCTTCAATACACTCATTTGAGTTCAGTCCTCGTGAACACACCAACAGAGACATCTAGTGGTGATCTCTGGGCCACACATGAAGGCAGAACTAGAAGCAAAGTTCACAGTGGGACAAAAGAGACCATTTCAGGAAACAGAACTTGATCTTCAAATGTTTTAAAAGCCAATTAATCATTTTTGGTCATGTATCAAGCAAAATCTTCCCCATTCCTTGATTGACTTTTTCCCTCTATTTAAGCAAACTGATTATCTTGGAGTTTTGAACCACAGCTCACACAAAAGACATTCCAAGATGTCACCTTTCTCAGCAAGCAAAGATATAAATGTAAATATCATCAATATTGTAGTCTCTGGTGGTGCTTGTGTATTAATCAGACTCACCTAGTTTGTATGTTAGCACATAGAGTACTGTCCAAGGTGTGCCGGGGACTGCCAGCAGCTTCCTCCACACCCTCCACGGCCTCACAGCATCTGCTCCCTGCCCTCCCTTCCTGCTGCCATCTGCCTGCTGGCCTCTCACAGTCTCATCGTCCAGCACAGGGGCCCCCCACACAAACAAAGCCACGCCTGCATATACAAACGTCAGCAGCGTAAACATCCAGCTCCATCCAGCTACATCAATTACAGGCAGCAGCCCACCTCCAGCAAACACCGACCCAGCTTTATAACCCACAACTTGGGCTGTATTTCCAAGTCCCAGCTCCCGACGACTTTTCAACAGCCCCACTGCAGCCCCATCTACAGCAATATCCTGTACAGAGGCCAAGGTGTTCATGGCCAACAGGGTTCCCGCTACTCCCCAGATATGTGCCTCTGGGGCCAGGGCAGCACTGATGAGACATGTCAGAGCCAGGCCAGAAACTGTCCCCACCAGCCAGTGACGTTTGGTACTCAGCCGGTCTACCAAAGGGGCCCAAAGCACCTTGAGGACCCAAGGAAAGTAGAGGATCTTGGTGAAGCCGATGCGGGTGAGAGAATGGCCAGCTCCACGCAGGTAGACAGGAAGTAGAGAAGACTGGAGACCATAGGGGATGCCCTGGATAAAGTACAGCAGGCCCAGGAAGACCAGTTTATCATTCATGATCTACCTCTAGAAGCGACCCTCTCATTGAGCAGACACGGCAGTGGTCCATTGGTCACTTCATTATCAATACTTTGATTAAAGGTGAAAATATCAAATGGTTGATCCAGAGGAACTGATTGAGCTGAAATGAAAAAACCAAGTGTGAGATCCAGGTTTGCTGATATTGAACTTATAAGAATTATAATGTTGTAGACATCATATGGATATGTGGTGGCTTTTCACAGATCCTGCACGCGGCTTTAAAAGGATGTTTATTTACTTCTTGTTAGCACAACTCAATTAGCCTGCCATTAACGTTAACCTGGGTAAGGTTGGCCCCCTCAAAGTCAAATGAGGACACTACCGCATTCAATATTATAGTAACCACATTTATTTTTACAAGTTCACTTGTATAAAAACGCAAACGCCATATTGCATTGGTGACATTTTGCTGGCTGGTACTTGTACAGCAGCTAGCGTTAAGTTTGTTTTCTATCGGTCTGGCTACCGTTAGCCAGCTAGCTACTGTCAGGCTAAACCTAGTAATAGAATACGTTAAAACACGTTTATGCTGTATGTCAGTATTACTTGAGGTTTTGTTTCAATCAAAAAATTATTTCGTATCTGATACGAGAGTAATCTTGACACGTACGAAGAAAGAAAATTGGGTAACCGGAGAGGGTGCTCCGCTTGTTTAGTTGAAGTCTTATGTGCTATGAAGTTGCCATAGGTTCTTCTTCCTCGCTTATTTTTTTGGCGGTTGACAATCAACATTTGGTGCATTACCGCCACCTTCTGAATAGGAGTGTGGACCGGAATTGCTCTATAGACTATTGTTCCGTAAAGTCCTTTCCCCTAAAAAAGTTTAAATATTGCTTTGGACTCTACATGAGCTGAGTTCAGTTGCAAAATTCACAGCAATCCTTCTTCTGCTGATGATAAAACAAGTAGAGAGGGTACCAGTTTGACATTTCACAATCTAAAAAGTCCGGCTGCTGCCTGTTTCATTTCAGCTATCTCAGTACCTCATACATCATTACATGTTCAATTTTACGTTCAATATTTTTTAGTTCTCAAACTGACAGCCCTCACCTCTCATCACTCATTATAAAATAGCTATACTCATCCACTTGTTGTGACTGGTGTGTTATCAGTGTGTTTATAAGGTTTGAACTATATATACAAAGTGTATCATCAAAAAAAAAAAAATCTGTGCTTCATCAAAAGCATTCCATTATGCAGAAAACCTTAATTTTGCACTAAAATTGCAGAATACAAGTGCTGTATTATGACTGTCTGTTCTACTGCCTGTAGGCCATGTACATGACAGTGTAAGATAATGTTAAACTATAAGAACAGAGATGTCACTACCAGGAAGTCATACAAAAGGTTTTATTTGCAGAATGTCCACATTCCTTCATCATTCTTCTGCTGCTGAATGTAATCAGCATATGTAAATCTTTAATCAGAGGCTGCAGTGTACATCATGCAGTTACAAGGTGACCACTAATTTCAGCTTCCTTTCAAGCACCAGAACCTAATAAGTGTAATGTTAAATCTGTGACATATTATATAGTTATGGTCAAACTGCTGGGATACAAGTGGAAAGAAAGGAATAACAGGAGCAAAAATATCTGCAGGACAGATTTACTCTTAAATCTTTGCAGCTAATATCATATACATGTAATAGCAGTCACAAAGAGAAAAAGACTTGTCAGGTATCCACAAGACCAGAGGGCTCAACAGGTGTTAAGCGATCATAGGCTTTTCCATAGCTGAACTTGATGCTGATATTGGCTGTTAGTTTAGTTACCCCCACAGAGAGCAACCAGAATCTTCTCGTAGTCTCCGCTAACATCATCCTACAGGATGAAAGAAAGTTAGTAAATCCAACAGTTTCCTTTTGTTTCTTGTTAGTGAACTGTCATACATATACCAACACCAAATTGAACAATTCTGATATCAAAAATGTCTGCGCACCATTATATCCTGGCAAAGTAGTTTCCCATAGTTTTTCTTGTACTCATCCTTGATCAGTTTCAAGTCAATTTCAGAGCGGCTCACCATGATGCGGGTCAAGATAGGTTTGCGGGTACCTTTACCCTGATGGGCAGAAATGAGTCAGTCAGGGAAGGCCTTGGGCAGTAGACACAGTGTCCTGCACATTCATATTTTGAGTAGTAGCCTCAAAATACTGTACCTTCATGGACAAGTTGAGCCTCTCAGCAAAGAAGGCAGGCTTGCTTCCAGCACATTTCACTATGGTTAATTTAAAAAAATGGTTCACATTTAACTCAAGTCTGTCTACAAATCATCAGATGAATGCTCAAGTAACAGAGGTAGGGTTGAGGTTTATGCCTTTACCTAATGCTGTGAGACAATTTTCAATGTCTCCCTTCAGCTCCAAGTCAATAGCTTTGGCCATGTCCACTTTGCTGTAACTGGAGTACTTGCTAAATACTGAAGAGGAAGTAGTAGACATGTTAGATCTGACAGGGACAAACTAAAAAGTCCAATATTACTAAATACGACACTCAGGCAAGCTCACCTTTACGGAGATGAGCGTCACTCCTGGTGGTGAGGATCTCAATGAAGGCGGAACAATCAGTGCCCTTCCTCCCCTCCCCAGCCTCGTACAGAGCCCTGGCATCGTTGTCAACCAGCTGCTCAGAAACTCCTTCAGTCCTGCTGGCCTGCGATTAACAGAGATGGAAAAACTTCAGGATGATCCAGGCGTTACACTTGCTGTACAATAGTGTAGCTTATTCTTCAAACCAAGATATTTACTGCTGTACAAGTCTGATATTCTGAAGTTCACAAGTTCATATTTCTCATCATTTTATCAAAGTCAGCTTTTGACTTTCTGTAGAATATATTGAATGTTCAGCATATTGTACTGTGCATTTGCTCTTCTAAGGTGCCTGTAATATGAAGACATAATAAAAAGACCCAATTATTAATGCCAGTTGTGTTGGTGTGTGTGTGTGTGTGTGTGTGTGTGTGTGTGTGTGTGTGTGCACGTGTCAAGGGAGTTGAGCTGGTTTGTTCTTTACAAACCAGGGCTGTTGTCACAACTAGGGAGTGTAATGTTACCTCAGAACTTAAGAGCATCCTGGTGGCATGACTGAATTATTACCTGTGCCAAATGTGTCATAAAATCCTGCAAGGTACTTAATCAAATACACGGTTTAGAAAGTCAGCATGGACACACATACCTTGCAGAGAGCAAGGAGGGCAGCCCTGAAGTCTCCACCAGTGTCAGACCTGATGTCAACCTCCAGATCCTTCTTGTATTCTTAGCAAAGAAGTGACATTAAGAAGAACACTAAGGATATAACATATTCAAAATCTGAAAATTTATTTTAAGCACACTTTTTAATGTTTAAACCACCTCCCAGATTCCAGAGACTATGTCACACTAGCTTGATGAAATTGGCAATTGTTGCTTAAAAGCTGTTGGCACACACCGTCCTTGTAGGCCTTCTTTATAGCCTGGAGTTCTCTGTTGGTTCGGGAAGCCAAAATTTCTACCAGGGTGTCCTCGTCAGTTCCCAGACCCTGAGACGGGGACGCATGAAATGATACAGTAAGTTGATACAGACAAAGACCACTTATTCTTTACTGGCCTAACACATACATTTTACCCATTAAAAAAACAATACATGAATGTGTGGAAGTGGGTGGATATCATATGCACCAAAAATAACAAATGATGGTGAGGCCCAAACACTGAGGCGCTTGGTTTTTATGCATGAGAGTAGATTACAGATTTAGATCACTATTCATTCTAAGCAAGACTTTGCATTTGTGTTTCGTGTACCTTCATAGCCAGTTTCAGCTGCTGGGCGTCATACTGGGCCGGTGTTTTCAGTAGAGCCAGCGCAACCTCCTCCAGATCTCCCTTCAGAGCATTCTTCAGCGCCGTTTCCAGAGGCTGCGAGGGAAAAGACGATGAGTAAATGTAGTGTTTGAAAGCATGTGTACTTTGGAACAATATCTGAAATGTGAACTACCCTTTGAACATCTGTGAGTAATTCACATTACCTTGCCACAGGTCTTCTGGTAAGTCTCTTTGATGGTCTGTCTCTGGTCATTGGACCTTTTCACCAGAACTTCAATAATGGTGTCCTCATCCACCCCTGCAGAAATTACAGGGTACAAAGTAGAATGACAGAGACCGGTACCAAGTTCAGTTGAGATTTTTGTACCCTTGTAGTATTTCAATGTGAGGCCTACACAGAAACACAAGACTAGGTTCTACCCCAGGTAAGAGCACTGTAATAATGATGACAGCCAGCAGAGGGTGTTACAAGTCCTGCCATAAAAGCCATCACTTTGTACTTGAAGTAGAGACAAGCTGCAAAGCCGAAACATACACACTCTGGAGCTTCTCTAAGTGCATTTTAAGTTCACCTTTCGCCTTGATGGCCTTATCCAGTGCTGCTACATCTGCACTGGGGTTGAAATTTGGTGCTGGCTTCACTGTCCCCTGGTTTTGTGAGACCTGAAAGACACAATAGAAATTAGTATGCGTTTTGTAAATAGTTGATTTCTACACAGTGGTGTGCAAAAAGTGAGCTGCAAAACTGTATTTTTAAATGCCTTAGGTGCAAAAGTGATCCTTCTTACATACTGTCTGCATCCATCCCCAGCCTAAAAAGTCATGGCCCCTGTGGGAAGTGCCCTGGCAGTATCTGCCCCAACACCTGCATGCCTCCAAAGAGGATGATAGTGCCCTTTAAAATGCCTGTACATGCCACAGTGTAGTGACAGGATGGTCCAACAATGCAGATTGAAATCAAATAGGATAATCTTAATCAACTTTCTCCTTAATAAATCAGACAAAGGAGAAGTAGTATAGCTGTTTGCAGGGTTTTTAAAGGGTGGGGCACAAATTCCTGCTCCTGTGAGTCATGCACTCACAAGACTCAGTAGGCCATCTTTCTCATTCCATCTTTAGTTTCCCCTTTTGTCTTTGTAACAGTCCTCACCTCATTTTTCTGCTTTGTTCCACTCCTTTTCCTCGCCTACGTTTTAACTTCTCAATCATGCATTCTTTTCCCTCACTATCCTCTACACTTCTGTTTCTCCCTCTCTCTAAGCTCCGCCTGATAAACATTTTCCATCCTGGCATACCACAGGAAGAGAGAAAAAAGAGAAAAAACTGAGTAGCTGGCCTGAGTAACTGGAACTGAACCACAGCAGTACATACTGAGTCATCGGTCATGCCCACATACAGCGTCTGCTGCATCAAAGATCTCATCAAAGCCATGGTGCTGGAGGCTGACTGTAAGGGGAGAGGATAGTGAAGGGGAAATGGTGTTAGCACTGATGTGATCTAAATATAAGCAAAGCCATCTGCAAGTCTGAGACAAAGAGACCTATGGTTGTAATAAAACAATGTCCACTGAACACACTGTAAATATTCAAAGGAGAAATGTTCATTCTTTTCTTGATTTTTCTTCAGTATAGAGTTCTTATTTGTTAAACTTGTTAGGGCTCCTACTAGCCAGCACAAGCCTCTGCTTATTTACTGTAGGCTTAAGTTGGGTGGTTTCTCATAATGACAAGCATGTGGAAAATGCCTGGCCACACCCACACAACTCCAGTATGCAGTTTAATGTAGGCTGTATTATAGATCCAGTCTCCTTTCATGTGCCTTAAGGTTGATACTGATTGGCAGCTAGTTAAACCAGCTCAGCACTTTACTTGCGTCAAAAGTAAAATCCAAAATTTGTCGCTGCTCTTTTCCCAGCCACACCCTTAGTAGGTTGCATAAATACTGTGAGAGAGAGAGAGGAGATTTACAGTCATCTCACTCAGAACCAAACTTCACTAAACTCTAAAACTAAAAGCTGGAGAAAATATTTGGCGTTACTATCTACGGAAGATGATTCACTTACCGTGCGGATTTGAAGGAGAAGAAGCTGATCTGACTGAAGTGGCAAAGACGCTGTAACGACGCAGATAGTGTTTTTATATGCATAATAAACCCCACCTAGTTAAAGGGTCCAGCCCATACTCCATTCCACCGCTGCAATTGGATTAAAAAGCTGCCTGCCACAGCGAAGTGCAACGTAGCCTCATCCAAAGCGCAACGCCGTGCGCAAAAACTTTCTCCACCAGACTTATTTAAAACAAATCACGCTCCTTTTCAGGTCGTAATCCGTTATAAGATGGGGACCATGGAAAATTACTAATATACAACGTAGAGAGCTGTGTGCTTTTGATTACTCATTGATTTGTACCTGCTTTTGTAAATTCCTGTGAAGTTTTAATGTATCCCCTGTTACATTGAATTTAATGCCCTGTTTTGTTTGATAATTTGTAATTTCAAGTTTCTGGGCCGCATATTTTACAAATGAACTTGAGATTTTATTGTTCTTCTTATTTTAGGCAATTGAATTTTACATTTGGGTAATCCAAAGTATTTTCTGAAAGTGAATAATGATCATTTTGTTATCACCCATATGCCTCTATGTATGTGTTTGGTAAAACGACTCTTATATAAAGGCACACTTGATTTGTGTGGTATTTAGGGCCTATATACAGTATAGACATGCAGGTGTTTTCAGATGTTCCTGCAGTGCCACAGGTTTATTTACTACTGGAGCACAGTTTGTCCTCAATATAAAGAATAAGTTTATGCTATTGCTGTTTCATTTGCTTACCGACAGAATGAAGTCAGAATCTGTCGTTTGACATTCCTAGTGTTATTTCTTCTCTCACAAAAATGTTATCAGATTACTTTAAACATAAACCTTGTCAAATGAATTCACCCACTTTGTGTTTATCTGGGGAACCCCTGATCTAACATCTCAGCCTTACTGTACTTGTAGAGCTGACTGAGCAGAGACAGCCTTAACAGTCTGCCTGTGGTGTGATGAAGCAATGTGTTTCTTTTCATGTGTGGCCTGTTGTCATGGCAATCAGGACCTGACACTGCCTCAGCAAAGGTCAAATGCTTTCACACAGCTGAGATTAACAGCCAGAATAATGACACATTTGACTGATGATTATTATTTTAACACAGTTAGCACACTTTCTCAACAGGTCTAAACAACCAATACTTGCAAACCCTTGATGACATTCATAAAATGTCCTATGTATTTGTGTTGAAAGACATCTTGCCCTGAGCAGTAGGCCTACACTCTGTACACATAGTGGAATGTGGTCAGGACAGAGTTTGGATTGTGAGAAAGGAAGGCGGGGCTGTGTTGTCACTACCGTGGCATCATGAATGGACCACAGGTAGACTGGCAACAAAAAGCAGCCCAGGAATTTGCTGAGAAGCAGACCCAGTTTAATTAATCAAACTGAAACAGTCACAACAGGTTCATCTGCTAATCTATTAGTGCATCATTAATTTAAAAAAAGCACAGCCTGCCAATTCATTATACAATTTGATGTAACCTAAAATGTAAAATGATGGATTTCCTTTCCCAAGGTTCTCCTCCCAGCATTTGTGTGTACACAGAGCAAAAGTAAAGTTGGATCACATGACACCTAAGTTGACTTAGCCTATGCACATGTCCAGCTGTTTTGAATGAGGTCATGTGAACGTACCTTCTCTTCATCATCGCCTTCTGAGGCCTTGACTCCCTCATGGGCTCTATATCCCACAGCTTCCTTTCACTGGATTCTGACTATGCACACCTGTCTTCATAAAGGTTCAAACTGTTTGTTGAAACTGCATAAAACTTTCTGACTAAAGAATCAAATATTATGTTGTATTCATTAATTTCAGAATGAAAGGTCTAGTCTTAACATAGGTTAGCCTGTGTTAAACAGAAGCTCAGCCTGTGGTCTAAATGTTGCTTTGTCTAAAACCAAAAGGAAATCCTGATAGAAGAGCTTGGCCAAGAACAACACGGCACAGGAGAACAATACCTTTAATCAGCAGCAGCAGTCACAGCAGCAATAAAAGTGCTTTTGTTCCACTTTGGGTGGTTTATACAGTAGCACTGTAGCAAATATTGGGTATAATTTTAATAAACCAGAATCTCCAGTGTTATCTTCATCACAGTAGACCAACATAATGATAATTCCTTGATATTCCTCAGTGTAGTTCATCTGCATGTAGGTGGCCTATTTCCCATCAAATTTCCTGGATGCAGGTGACCCCAACAACTGAGGACATTGTGGGGACACCTAGTGAAGTGAGTGTGTGTATGTGTATCAGCGAGTCTGAAACAGCATCAGGTTACAATCACTATCTTACACATGGGAAACCCGAGGACTGTTTGGGGCATCTTTTTACCAACAGGTTCTGTGGGGTTTAGGGTAGTACCTGGTGAAACTCCATCTCTGCAGGTTTAATATTTAAAGACTGTTGAGAGTTTGGTTCCCCTTAGAGATCAGGATCAACACTTCCTCATCCTCCTGGTCAGCATTACAGCACAAAGACTGCACTGGACCACACCAAAGGGATCTGCTCTGCTCTGAGACCAGGTAGACCATCTTTTTTATTCATGTTTTCTGACTTCTTGAAAGTGAATGTGTTTTTTGATTAATTCATATGTATACATTGGATATTATATGTCAGTTTCATGGTAGTGTAGCTCATTTTACAATTCACAAATGTCAGTTTTAAGTAAACTCAAATCAGTAATGTTATATGTTATCATTTAGAATTGAGATGTAAGATTTGTTTTTACTGTATATACAGGAATAGCAAGGTGCAGTCAGGGAAACTGGAAAAAAGAATAGATTTTTCCTTTTGAGAAGCCTTTAACTTCCAGTGGTTTGGAGAGGCAAACACCTCATGAGTGAATCTGCTGTGTGAGCTCTTTGACATCTGAAAATACAGTTGCAAGAAAAAGTATGAGTTAAAATGACCTGCATTGTGTAAAAACCTGTCATAAAAGATGGTCGGATCTTCCTCTTTTTTAGCTAATAACACAAAAATTATGGAATTGTTCTTGTCCGTGCTGTAAACATCATTCAAACATTCACTGCAGAGGCTGAAATGAATATGTGGACCCCTGCAGTCATGACATTAATAAGAGCATTTTGACACTGACTTTAACAAACCTGGAATGTAACAAGATTGGAGGTGTAGTTGGAGCTACTTTGACTCATTAAAACCACTCTTGATATTCACAAGAAGCATCTGCTGATGTGAATGGACCATGGCCCAGTCAGAGTGCAGGCCTTAACCCAACAGAGATGCAGTGGAATAAGCTCAGAGAGCCATTCACAACACACACATACTGAGAATATAACTCAGCTGCAGCACCTCTGTTAAGTTGAACAGTCCAGAATTCTTGCTTGAAAGTTGTGTTCTTCCAATCCACAGCTAACGAAAAAACTTGTTTGCTGAAATTGTTGCCAAAGCAGGTTTGACCAGTTAAGTCCAAAGGTTCAAGTATTTTTCCCACCAGCACTGTGAATGTTTAATGGGTGTGTTCCAAAATGACGTGGACAATTAGCTTAAGGACATTGTGTTTGTCTAAACATATAGCCTGAAGATCAGATCACATTTTATGATCAGTACTGCAGAAAACATTTCAAATGGTACAACCACAGTAATTTCAGGATGTGTTTGATCAAAAAAAAGAACAACCTTTCTCTGATCTTTGTGGCTTTACATGATCAAAAAAAAGAACCTTTCTCTGATCTTTGTGGCTTTACAAGAATTTTAAGCAACTTTCTGCAGATTTTGGACAGAGCAAACTCCAAAACAGCTGTGACAGCCAACACACAGTTATATACACAATGTATGGGAATTCTTCTGGAGCTAAGAATGGCTCCTATTCACTGACCTTTCTGGGAAAGAAAGTGGGGAGACATCACTCTGTGGCTCCTGCAGGCAAGCAATGTGAGTGTACAACCCTTGTGTGGGGCAACGCAAACTGCTCTGTGCGATAAATGTATTGCAGGCAGTCAGGTGAAGTTAGTCAGGTTCTGAATATTTCAGCTGTTTGGCTGCCTCCATTGTGAAGCAGCAGAGCAGTCAGGGTATCAGAAAAAACAACACAGTGTTCCTGTTGGAGATCTGGATACGAAGGCCAACCGACTGCACTTCAAACGAGACTTTAACACATACTCATACAAACATACATAGTAATAGACAAGTATATCCACATTTTTCTTAATTGAGAGTAGAATTAGCTGCTGGTCCCTCCAGCTGTAGCAGAGGTATAGCCTACATGCAGAGGTCTGTGTGTTCCTATTTAAAGTGCCGTGCATTATGTACCTGTAAACACCATAATCTTCTATCGAGACGTTGCCATTATTTGTTTTGCTGCTGCACCTTCTTTCAGCATTTCATTTGAACTAATCACCTCCATCAACATCCATTCATATGCTGTTTAATCTCTATTTGGAACCCATGAGTAAAGGTCATGCTCTGTTCCTCATTTCTGTTTGTTTGTATGTTTCATTTTTACATTATGCCCACGATCTGAATGCTAATTTTCTTCTCAGGCGCTTGGGAGCCAAATACCAGGCCTTCCTGCTTTGAGGACCCTCTGGCACCCTCACAGTCAGCACAGGTCCCAGTGGCAGCACAGATGCTGGAGTACCCGGCAGCGTGCCAGAGCTAAAAGGACCAGAAGCCATATCCAGTAACTCACAATAGACAGTTTGACTCATTCCTACACACACTATCATCCACTCACTTGGGCATAAACTGTAGTTTCATAATCTCTTCCACAAGATAAATTACAGCCTATCAACTATTGGCTTTTAACCCTTAACTAAACTCCGAACCAAACATGCTGATACTATTGTAGGTTTCAGTTCTGCACTGTTTTGAGCCTTTGGTTTGGGTTCACTAGCTGCCTGCTGACAAGTTCAGATACCACATACGTTTTGTGTATTTCCTATTTTCATTTCTGTTTCTCTACTAAAAGGTGTTTCTGGGAGGAAAGTAACAGCATGACAACAGA